CTGCTGAACGGGCTGAAACCATTCGCTGCCCCACTCTGCCACGTCTCAGAGCAGATCTCATCCCTGAGACGTTCCCAAGATGCCTGTGGCTTGGGACCTCTCGCAACCTCCTGAGTCCCAACAGTGGATTCACCACTGCCAAGAACAAAAATAGGCAAAGCCTTCAAGATCAAACCTGACGCAAAAGAAGTGAATCCTCACCAAACACAGCACTGTCCCTGTGCTAAGCTTTTCCCCCAGGGCCGTGCCAGCCACCCAAAGTCACATGCAGGTCCCCATGCCACTAGTTCTTACCCCTTGTATCTACGTGACTTCTTGCTGGGCATCTTTCACATGTCCTGGCGATTGGTCTCTGAAAGCCTGGAGGATGCCTGTTTCCCAGGTGCTCAGGCCCTTTGGCCAGTACGAAACAGCCAGGTATGGCCTTCAGCGCCTGGTCACCTCGACTGAGCTGTGCCATGCCACTGGAGAGCGGTGCTGGCAGCAAAAAAGTAGGTTTAAAAAGAAAGCAAGGAAACATCCTATGAGGTATCCAGCTACAAATATCCAATGCGGCTTGGCATAACAGTCTGGGGAACACTTCCAGGCTTGTTCCTCATCCTGCTGGTTCCTGCTCCATCAGTACAATCCCTGGAGCTCTGCCCGTTCTCACTGCTGGAGATCTTCCCCTCGAAAACGGTCAACCGCATCCAGGAGGAGGAGTGCATCCCCCACCAGCAGTGGTCAGGAGTAACACACATCTGTCGTGTGGAGGGATGGCCTTTCTGCTGTGAATTTGGGGTTAAAGGTTCAGAAAGTTCACACTGCGGTGGTGGGGACACAGACATATCCAACTGTTGGTTCTTGTCCTGCGGGCTGGAACGTGTTCTCCTGCTGGGCTGGGGCTGCGCCGGGCTTTGCAGGAGAGGTTGGTTGGTGACGGTGGTGCTGTCGTGAAGGTAAACGCACGCAGGTCCACACCCAGGGCTGCTGGGGGGGACAGCAGAGGTGCTGCTGGGTAGGAATTTGCTCCCTACCAGTTATGGTTGTCCAGGGCACAAGTTTGTCCTCCACATTGATGTGACTAATCGTTTATCGCCAGCCTTGTGTCCTGTGGGAAACTGCATTTAAAGTCACGATCCCAAGGGAAGGATGGAAACTCTGAGGAGCCTGGGTTTTTCTGATTCTTCTGAGATGAGCAGCACTATCACAGCCCTGGATAAACTTGTCCTTCCCACACAGTGCGGGAAGGCACTGTGCTGTGCAGGAGTCTGGATTTTGGATTTTTCCTGCCTGTGCCAGTGACAACTCCCTCAGCCCCACACATGGCTTGAGCATTTCCCGATGACTCAGATCGGCCCCTCGGCTCCCACTGACCTGCCGATTCACCACTGAGTCACCAAACGCAGGGGGGGCATCTGCCTCCCTTCCTCTTGCTCAGGAAACCATCCTAGCAAATGCCTCGCCGAGGAAAAACCAGGGGGCAGGTTTCAAGCCAGAAACCCCAGAACCTGGTCACAGGGACCTGATCAACTCACTAAACCCATTTTATAGAGCTGGGCTATAGCCCCTGTCCCAGTGGTATAGCTGGTCAGTGCCCGATGGGAGGAGATCCCTGGGCTTCATGTTTGCAGGTTCAGAGACAGAGCAACAGGGCTGGAAAGGACCATGGATCTTCTCTCCAACTTGCCACCATCAAGTGCTTCCTTAACAGCTAACACGAACCCCCATCACTGCAACCCCTGGCACCTCCTCAGCAGACACGGAGAAGATCTCATGCCTTTAATGTCTGCAGAAGCTTTTTGGCATTTGAAGGTTGTTTTCATCCTCCTCAAGTCTGCTTTAAGATAAAAAACTCCAGTTTCATCCCCCTTCCTCCAAGGGCTGCTTTTCCAGCATGGTTTTCCTTTGTGTCTTTGAGCCACCACCCGCCAGTCCGTGTCTTCCCATCAGTGTGGTACCACTGGCCCATGAGCCAGCTTTCCATCCTGCTCCTCTTCGTGCATCCACCACCTTGGTCCTCCTCAAAACCCCATCTCCCGCAGGCTTAGGAATGGCCCCTCTCTGCAGACGTGCGTTTGGATGGCCGGGATCTTCCTGCCCTCATTCAAGCTGCCTTTTTATTTTCACACCACAGACCCAGTGCGCCAAGGGGGTTTGGAATGATCCTGCCGCAGATTTGCAGCCTCCTCCTGGCTGGTGTCACCATCACATTTACTACGCACACACAGTTTTCCATAGTGAGAGTCAGTAATTGCAATATTGATGGGTACTAGAGCCAGGGCAGTCTCTTGGGCGATCAATACAACCTCCTCGTCGGGCAGGGAGACAGGGTAACTGCTCCCTCAGCCAGCCCTCCAGCCAGCCCTGCTCATCTCTCAGGCTTGAAACCCTTCCTTGCATAAAATGCTTTGCAAACGGAAGCTGATCTTGCTTTCCCATGTTTTCCAAACGTTTAACTGAGACAGAAGGGCACATTCCCAGCAGGATTGCTCTGGTGTTGCGGGCTGCCTAGGAGAGATGCGAAGTTGCCTGCAAGGTCCCAGTCAGACTGGACGATGTGCTGACCCCTCTGACCCTGGGGAGGAGGGACCCCAGTTCTCCCACATCCCATCGGAGCCACACACAAGAACCAGCATGAGTCAGATGGCCCTTCAAATATAAAGGATTATTATGATGATGTATATTGATTTGCTCACTCTGCCCCTTCCTTCTTCCACTCCTTAGCCTCTAAAGCCTTTAGGATATTGTGTCTTTCCACAGAGTCACCACCACCAAGGTGACTGACTACGTTAACATCTCCGCAGGGGCAACTCTTCTGGGGCAGGAGAACATGTCCGCTCTTTTATCACGTCAGTTTGGGTAGGAAAAGGATAGCGAGGCAAAATAAGCATAACCACGGGGGAGAAAAAATCCCAACCATTACAAACTAAACCAGCGTCTGGAGGAATTTCAGTTAGACGATAGGCAGTGTTGGCCGCGGAAGAACCGCCGGTAGGACTATTAACGCTTTGCTTTTATTTGCTACAGGTTAGTGGTTTTGTTCACAGACAGGACGGGTTTAGCTTTGTAGCTGAACTAATCATAAATGTTGGCTCTCTCACTAAACTTGATCGGACAAAGTGCCCACACTTACATTTCTACTCTTACCATTCAGGGCTCGGAATGTCCCACGTAAAAGCTGGATTACCTTGTCGCTTGCATTGCATTCCACTGGGAAATACTTGAACTTAAGGCCATAACCAGTCTGTGCTGTTACGAAGTTTCTGGGATTGTTCTTTTTCTGTTGTCCATTATTTTTTTTTTTATCTACTAACTGTATTTGTACTAGAAATCTTTTGAGTATAGGCTGAATCTGTAAGTATTTTTTCAGTGTAAATGTTACATCTGGACTGTAGTTAGGATATTAAACACTGGTCAAAAGAGAAAGATACATCAGTCCAACTCTTCAACTGGCTATATTCCAC